ATATCATTTTTAATTTGATCCAAAAGTTCCTATGTACTTTGATATTGGAAAAAACTTAGAGAAAGATGGAGGGAAAAAAGAGTAGAAGTAAAACATAGAGAAGTGTTGGGTGATGTGGTAATAAGAAGTAAATGAGGTATTGCTTTAAATTTTTTTAGTAACCAAGAAGTGCGAAAATAGTTACAAAAGAAAGATGAAAATTCAGAAAATAAAAAAATTGATAAAATATCCTCGCTAGCAATAAGTGACCGAAAGAGAGGGAAAAAACTAAAAATGAAAATGGAAGGAAGCATGAACATAGGTTGAAAGTAGCTGCAGTAAAGGAAAAGAGCTAAAGTATGAAATTTAAGTATTTTAAAGTGCATCGAGAAGAGTAGTCACTATTTTACCTAATAATTTATATTCGTCCCCCTTAGTCAATATTACAACAATAAAAGACTTTTGATCCTACCATTTGGTGCGTTAATTGATTAAGTAACACACTAATGACAAGCATATTGTCACAGACTTAGAGTCTCACTAAAGCTCCATGCGGCACTTGACAACTTACTAATCTTTCAAGATCTTGTAAACTCAAGTAAGCCCTTTTAAGATCACTAAGAGAATGAAAAGAAAGACAAGAGAGCTTTGAAAGAAGGCTTTTTATTGCTTTGTGGAATGTTTTACACTTGGTTGGATGATTTATAAATGAGAGCCCCTCTATTTATACTACTTCCTAGCGGGCTAAAGTGTAAATAAAAATTACTACACAAGTCTTTACTTATTTACAATCTAGTCCCTCTTCTAGAATTCTCTACTACTAGTCTAGATAATTCTAAAGCTTTCTAAGATATTTTCTAAGGCTTTCGACAGTCTTCTAAGAAAAGATTTAGAGAATTCTAAAGTCTTTCACTAACCTCTCCATAACTCTAGATTCTTCCCCCTTATTTTTATGTCAAATTTGAAGGTCAAAGTGGTGGGTCATGACACTCTCCCCCACCTATTGATGCGATGACCGCGCACATTGTTGTTGCATGGTCAATCGAGCCTTGTCTTCTCGCATGTGCAACCAGTTGTCCATTGACTCGATCAATGCCCTTGTGCAACTCCCTCAGCTGCTTCTTTATCTCTTCTAGCTCATTCTTATGATCCTTCCTAGGAGGTAAGCGTCTTGGCGGCTCCTCTAGAATCACGTCCTTGTTCTCTTTTAGAACCTTCTCCATGCATGGTGGCAAGGACACCTTAGCACCATTATCTTCTTATGAACTTGCAATGGTGGTTGTAAACGTTGACTCCTTCTTCTGACGAGTTGCATGGTTGTTAGTCAGACTTGTCCTTCCATCTTGGGTACCTTAACCAGGGGCGCCATACATGATCCTTTTTGTTCCATGACCAAAAGTTGTTGGAGGTAAGGATCGATCATCGCGCAACACTACTGGAAGAACTCTTGCCTATGAATTATGTCAAAGAGATCTAAACGAGCGACAATGAAGTTGGTTTTACCTTGCCACTCGCCTAGTGTGATGCTTACTCCATGCGCGACTCCACACACTGGAGTCGGTGGTGCATTGACAGTCCTGAGTTGGGCGTTACTTGGACTGTAACTTAGCCCCAACCTTGTTGCTTCTGTCTTGGTCATAATGTTAGCCTCTGCACCCGTGTCGACCATAGCACGAGCGGGTCTTCCATTAATCGTGATGTCGACATACTGTGTGTCGTATTCTCTCAGCTTCCCTAATTGTTTCGTGATGGCTCCACATAGTCCTATCAAGCCCAACTATGTCATCTTTGCACCTTGTCCTTGCTCATGTGCATCCTTCTTCTTCCACTCTCGCAGGATAGCACCAAGGCTCTTTCAGTAGCGTACACAAAAAAAATTGTAAACGGTGTCGACATTTTTTAAAAAAAATATAGCAACATTATATTTATAAAAATTACTTAAGATGTACTAATAAACATAAATTAAGTAACTACTACAACTCTTAACGAAAAGTTTTCATGAAATTAAGTTCATAAAAAATAATGAATAATTTCAATTAGGATGAAAAAATGTGCTTGTTGAGGGTCGAACTTAGGACCTCTTTCACCCAAGTCATGCGCCCAACCAAAATAAATAAATAAATATATATATATATATATATTAGGATGAAAAAATGTGCTTGTTGAGGGTCGAACTTAGGACCTCTTTCACCCAAGTCATGCGCCCAACCAACAGATCAACATATATATATATATATATATATATATATATATATATAAATCGAAGAGGCAGTGTCGGGTGACACACCTTGCTATAAGGTGGGTCCGCCCCTGGGCTCTTCAATTCAGGGCACCTTGCATAGCCATGCGACCCACTGCATATGTAGCAACTGTTCTCTTTGTAGTTTCTAGCTTCCTCTCTGTGTCGCTTTGGCGTCCAGACTTCTTGCCATCGAACCTATAAGTATCATGATTCTTGGGATGTGACCGCTGCTTTTCCATTTTGCCACGATCTCCCCCACCTTGGTCATGACTACCTCTTATCTCCTCTCTTCTGGCTCTGTCAAGCTTTTCATGCCTGAAGTTTGTAAAGCTTCGGCCTGCGTGATGACTTTATCGATAGTCCTGACCTATCGGCGTTCCAACTCCATTCTAGCCCAATTTTGCAACTCATCCATGAAGTGGAACAAATATCTTCATCCGTGAGATTGGGAATCTAAAGTGTGAGGGTGGTGAACTCCTTCATGTATGTGTGTATGCTTCCCATCTGCTTCAGCTCCCTAAACTGCGTTTCGCCTTATAGATGACGTTGTTAGGGAAGAAGGCCTTCTTGAACTCTTCTCGAAATTGCTCCCAAGTGTTGATGGTGCAAAGCCCCTTCCCTATCTCGGACTCCTTGTGCCTCCACCATAGCATGGCCATCTCAGAAAGATACAACATGACAGTGTTGGTCTTGTTTTCGTCGCTCTTCATCCGACTACATTTGAAGTAATTCTCCAAGTGCCATAAGAAGTTCTCCGCTTCTTGGGCGTCACAGATGCCTTTAAACATAGGTGACTTGGGAGCCTCGACCCTGACTTCTCTATCTCGATCGAACGACGATGATCCTCCAACTTCCAAGCCCTCCTTGAGTGCTTTCATCTCGGCCTTCATAGTCTCAATTGTGCTTAATGCCACCATGAGCCGACACTCTAATGAAGTGATAGCCTCCTTCATCTCGAACTCAGCACGCTGGCGGCCCTCTAACTCCTTGCGGATGTTGTCTTTCTCTTCAAAGGTGAAGTCTTCTAGAGTCTTGAACTTGCCATCGACCTCGTTCACGCGCCTGCCTAAGATCTCCACGGTCTGCCTTGTTGTTTCAACCCTTGCGATCCACTACTCCTTTCTGGGTGTGACGTCAATGGGATCCTCTCCACAGTCATCATCACTTGCTTCGGTGGTCGAAGGTGGGTGAGATGTTAGCGCCTCGCTTGGTGTAGTACTCTTAAGGTTCTTGCTTCCCTTGTGGAGTTTCTTTCCACCATCCAGCCAGACGTTGGTGGTGCTAGCGGCATTAAAGTCTCCTTCGTTGGCCATTCCATCAGTGACAGACCTTCACTTTGATACCACATTGTCACGGACTTAAAGTCTCACTAAAGCTCCATGCGGCACTTGACAACTTACTCACTAATCTTTCAAGATCTTGTAAGCTCAAGTAAGCCCTCTGAAACTACGATCTCTAAGAGAATGAAAAGAAAGACAAGAGAGCTTTGAAAGAAGGCTTTGTATTGCTTTGTAGAATGCTTTACATTTGGTTGACTTAGAATCTCACTATCCATGCGGCACTTGACAACTTACTCACTAATCTTTCAAGATCTTGTAAGCTCAAGTAAGCTCTTTGAAACTAAGATCGATAAGAGAATGAAAAGAAAGACAAGAGAGCTTTGAAAGAAGGCTTTGTATTACTTTGTGGAATGTTTTACACTTGGTTGAATGATTTACAAATGAGAGCCCCTCTATTTATACTACTTCCTAGGGGGCTAAAGTGTAAATAAAAATTACTACACAAGTCCTTACTTATTTACAATCTAGTCCCTCTTCTAGAATTCTCTACTACTAGTTTAGAGAATTTTAAAGCTTTCTAAGATATTTTCTAAGACTTTCTAAAGTCTTCTAAGAAAAGATCTAGGGAATTCTAGAGTCTTCCACTAATCTCTTCATAACTCTAGATTCTTCCCCCTTATTTTTATGCCAAATTTGAAGGGCAAAGTGGTGGGTCATGACAATATGATATGTATGGTATGATTGAACTAATTACTTTGAAAGAGTGAGTAAATATAGTATGATTATGCCCCCTTGGAGTACATATATTTGTATGATGTAAAACTGGGCATCTCTTTTGAATGGTCGAGGGACTTGATGGTTAGAATTGGGTGACTTAGTGATTTCAATACATCAAAAATAAGCTCGAACCTCATTCAACTTCGTGTTTATATCGTTTTGAGTGATTAAGTCTCAAGAAATTTAAATGAACCCTCTTATGAAAACAACATTCATGAATTTGAGGTCATGATTAATAATCTCAGTTACTGCAATAAAATGAATGACAATGAGGTCATGATTAATAAACTCAGTTACCGCAATAAAATGAATGTCAATAGTCTGTTAGATTACTTGAGTGAAAGTGACACATGTTCAGAGGTCCAGAATTTAGAAGAAATTGTGGTTTCCTTCGGAGAAAACAATAGTGATGATGAAGTTGAAGACGATACAATACCTTTGGAACCAATTACGTATAACTCACGGCATAAGGAAGCATATATCACGTCTTGAACTCTTCACAATTTTGTTGGTGCAATTTGAGAAGACAACTAAGGATTTTTTTGATGCAATAAGAAACGTTAGAGATAAACTTCAACTAGATTTAAATTTTAACAAAAAACAAAAGACACTAGAATCATATTTAACCGAATTGTCTTAAATATTTTTGTAATTTTAAAAATTATTAGTTTATAATATTAATGGGATCATATATATTTATATGTGGATATTCTAAAAACAGTTATAATATTCACACGTATATATTAATTGAATATATTCTCAATTCAGGAACAAATTCACAAGGTATTTATGTCAATCATCAAGAGCACAGAGTCTTTCCGTTTCCACTTGCATCGAGGAGACCCTAGCTTTCTTAAAAATTCTTACTATAAGGATTCTTTGAAAATCCCCTATATGTTCATGCTGCTATTGCCTAACTTAAAGAATACACACAACAACAAAACGGAATATAAATTGATCAGTTTACTTTTAGAGTAACTGCGTTAAACAATGATCACCATGATCATGATGGCTGCATTTAGCCTCCTCTCTTTCTACACGGATCTGCATTCAAGAGATCAAAACTTAAGAATATCATCGATATATCTTCAACATTTGAATTCCAAAAAAACAAGGGAAAAGAAGAGCAAACTGTAGAATACCACTTCCTTTCTTAGCAGGTTATAATCATATTTGATTAAAACTTTCATAACCTTACGGGGTATAAGGGAAAGACTTGAGTAGATAGCTAGTCATATACCAAAAGAATGATAAACATCTTTATCATTATCATGCATCCAGTAGTTTAGGGGTATTGCAAAATCAGCTGTATGTTCTGAGATTTCATTTGTTCTTCTTACTTTATTAAAGCTCTTGTAATATTTTATACATTTTTTACTTCTTTATCAAATGATCCAATCCAAAGTAGTTAGCTAGCTAGTGTCCACACAGGAATGAGTCTTCCCCATAAAGTTACAAGCCAGGAAAAACTGATTATCACAAATCTCGGAATGCCCCTTTACTATATCTTGTTTTCCTGATCAAAACAATAAATAGATGCCTTATGACAATGGATGCTCTTGCAAACCAAATACCTAGAGTGACTTTGATTGCATAGTCATCAATAATTTAATAAAGTGTCAGATTAAATAAAATGATACTAAAACAGGTATCTCAATCAGCAACAAGTATGAGTAGATGGGCCTTCATTCTTTCATGTCACAAGAAAAATTGGAAAAACAGCTTAATTTACCAGTAGAAGATCCTCATCAGTTCCGAAGGATTTGCGGGCCTTTTCTAAACACTTTGAGGTGACCCTTCCATATTTCCTGCATAAGATTTTCAAACTTAATGCAATTATAAACTAACTGGATTCTCAAACAACCTAAAGCAGAATCCTAAAACTCAAAAAATAAAAAGTTGGTTTCTTTGAAGAAGGAATTTTTTTCATTTTATCATAGATAAAATTTGCTACTCTTTTTAGATAATGGTAACATTTCATTATTAAAAAAAACACATAAGGTGATGGTAAAGAAAACAAAATGCATACTTCCAAAAGTAAATCAGAGTATTACAATCCCCTTGATCTAACAAAAACATAAAGGGATTATGTAACTTCGAGTATGGATTCACTATCATTTGCAGGACATACTTTACTCCAAAAAAAAAAGAAAGTAATATACAGTTCTGTTTAACTCTCTGTGTGGAGTTATTTGTATTGTCAAAGCATCCAGAGTTTCTTTCCTTTCAAACTATCAACCAAATGCAAGCTGGGATGAGTTGCCACCATTTAATACCATCAACTACTCCATTCCAACATCTCAAGATGTTTACTGTCTTAGACCCATTCATTTTGGTCATACACAAGAACATGTGCCATAGTTGAGCTGTGACAACATAATGTAGAAACAAATGAGAGAATTGTCTTTCACCTTTTTTTTCATACAGGTGACATCTGGAACTCAACAGGTAACCCCTCCTCATTTAATTTCTCTTGAGTTAGACATGCTTTTCTAGACACTAACCATACAAAATATTAAACCTTAGAGGGTGCATTTACTTTTCGAATCAGCTTCCATGGCCATCCCGTCACCTCATGGCAAGTACCCATCAAAATACTATAAGCTGATTTTACTGAGAAAATTTTGGAGCTTGAACCTTTCCATACCAGAGAATCCTCACATACTGTTTAACCTTGAACCTGCTCCAGTTGATCTAGCAGTCCAGCAACACTGTTCACTTCCCAATCATTTAGCCATCTTCTGAGGTTTCGATTCCAGCTTTGGTGTGTCTCGTCTCTTCCACTGTGGCTTGAAGATTTGTTGCTAGAAGATATAGGTCAGGATATTGGTATTTTAGAGGGCCACATCCTATCCAGTTATCATCCCAAAAGGCAGCCCTCCTACCATTTCCTAGCTGAATTTCTGTGTTGCTAAAAAAACAAGGCCATAGTGTAGAGATTGATTTCCAATTGCTTACACCATAGGGGAATTTCACCACCTTTGTGCACCACTGGGAGACTTTTTCATACTTAAAATCAATTACCTTCCTCCATAAAGTCTGGTGCTAATTATTCCATCTCCACAGCCACTTAAGTAAGAGACTTTCGTTGCGTTGCCTCAAATTTCTGATGCCTAAACCGCCATGTGCTTTGCTTGAGATGGCCGTCTTCCAGTTTACCAAGTGAATAGCTTTTTGTTTCCTTGTCAAATGAAATTCCTTCTGAGAGTGTCCAACCTTCTTTCCACCTTGACTGATAGAGGGAAAAGGGATATCACATAAGTTGGAAGAGAATCCAACACTATTTACTAGGACCACTCTGCCTCCAAGCGAGAGATATCGAGTCTTCCACTTAGACAGTCTCTTAACACACCATCTATCAATCACACCATCCCATATCTCCAGTGCTTTGTTTTTGGCCCCCAGTTCTAGGCCAAGATAGGCAGTTGGCAGACTACCAACTTCACATGCCAAGGACCTGCCAACCTATGAATCTAAGGTACCATTATTGATAAGAAAGATCAGATTTTTCCTCCAATTGACATGTAGCCTGAGACTTCTTCAAAGACGGTAAGAATCAGTCTAATATGTCTCAGTTGATCAACTTCAGCATCGAACAGAATCAGAGAGTCATCTGCATATAGCAGATGAGAAATATCCATCCCAATCCAGCTTTGTTGGATGCCATAAAACCCCTAATCCATCTATTTGCCTTAGCTTTCTGAATCGCGCTATTAAGTGATAAAATTTGCTACTCACTTTCCTACTACACCACCAAATTAAGAATAAATTTCTTGGGTGGATAAATCAAATCACAAAGACAAGGAAAATAACAAGTTTAAGTCTAGATTCTGAAGAAGAGTTCTATTCAAACAAACAAAATACTCCTTCATCCTTAAGGTAAATCATACATCTTCTAGAACAGTCATAGAAAAGATACAGGAATATCCAGGTGGAAATTGAGAGATTTCATGTTCTCTTACCTAGTATATTAATAGCTGTCATGGACCTTCAAATGAAGTATATCTGCTCAATAAAACCATGCAACATGTATGTGTTCCCTCAGAAATGACTTAGAGCAACCCAATAGACTTAACAGTTTGGTGTGTCGGATGAAACATTGAAGAAATGTCAAATTAACTCTCCTGCTACAGTCTACTATCCCAACATTTTGACAGGGCTAGGACTAAGAGAAATTCCACCTCCTCACCCTATAGCCCAGTCAAGGATGATTTGAGCTAATTCTAACTAACTGCTTTGGTGCGAAACTGGCCAGATGAGTTAAGCCTTCTATTTTCCAACTACTCTTTAGTACATGCCTTGGTAACTCTCAGAGGCTGTAGCCCAGTCAAGGATGATTTGAACTAATTCTAACTAACTGCTTGGTGCAAAACTAGCCAGATGAGTTAAGCCTTCTATTTTCCAACTACTCTTTAGTACATGCCTTAGTAACTAAAATCAGTACACACTATAATGTTCCTCTAGCTACTCCAAAGCTTCCATGAATTGTGTCAGTCATCTCTATGTAAATGGATATATACAAAGCTCAGGAGACTCACGTTGCTGGATATCATGGCTGGAATATAGGAGACAATTGTAAGTATTTAGGACCACTTCAGAAGATCATCTCTTTGAAAAAAGATATTTATCTGGTGGACCTTCCCCATCCAAGTTAACATATCGTATATCACTATCCTCTGTTTGTCAGGTGATCTTTGGACTTTGCACTGATCTGCTCTGTATTCCTTAGGATGTCCTATAAAATGCCAAATCAACCTCATTTAAACATCCTATCACAAACTCGACAACCTCCATGAAAATCATACCTTTAGGAGAAAAAAAAACAGAAAACTTTAAATGTTTCACGACTTGTTTTCCCTGAGTTTTAGGAATTATCTCCCCCTTGTTGGAGAAAACCCCTTTCCTATTCAGTACCATACCAACCACCAAAACATAAACATGTTCAGTAGGCGTGCATGCCTTTTGATGTCTCTGTCTTGTCCATGTCTCTATGTTACCAGTTGTGCTCTCTACTCTACAATAATAAACTAAATAACTTGCCTCAGCCCATATGAAATCCAAGTAACATGAGCATTGATATCTTAATAGAGACATCCACCGACAAACAAAATTAAAAATAACTCCTTCATCTTCCACTTTTTTTTTTTTTAATGACAAGGGAAACCCGCAGCCGCTACCCTTTGGGTGCACACAGGGTAAAACCCCCGCTCCTATGCAATAGCTCGCAAACCACATAGGAGAGGTAACCCGCACTAGGCATGCCCGGTGCGACGAGCTTGACCTAGAAGGCAAACCCCTTGCTTTCGCTGGCAAGGGGTTTCGAACTTGAGACCTCCAACATGGAAGTCCCAAGCCCAAACCACTGGGCCACCTTCATCTTCCACTTTTATGATGAAAAATATCATGAAATGGAAATGCATGAAAGTTAAAATAGTCATTATTAGTACTGGCAAGATCTTCTATCAGGAAAGGTCCTTTTGTAAGTTCCTTGTTAATTTCATGGTGAAAAGACGAGATGATTTTTTGTTGACGCAGCAAAAGGTAACTAGGAAAAACCTTGAACTGGCAGGATCACGAATCTCAAACTCATCTGCGTCAGTGTCATAGCCACAGATGACAATATAATGACCTGTCCAAACATGATTCAGAAAACAGGATTCTATTAATCATGCAATAACTCAAAGAGGACGGAGGTCCATTAGATTAGTACTCAGATCAGAAATGTATTTTGTAGTCAATCATTTCATTGTCTGACTTAACTGGCTTTCTAATTGATTAAGCCTATATGCCACTTAATGATGCCATATGAATGCCAAGACAGTCCAATGACACTTTAGCAAACAGAAAAGGTGGGAGTTTCTGTTCATCAGCAAACCAATAAGTTGAAAGATAAGAAACAACATGTACTACATTTCCCCATGCTAGTGACGCTTAGAAGGATAGAATTTACACAAAAATAGAAGTCTTCCCATCATGAAAATATCAGTTGGCAACTAACGAAATGATAATTTTGTACCTTTACTAAGATATAAACAATGTTTTATTAGTGAACTTTCTAATAGTTGTCAATAATTGTTTCAAGCTTCTGAGTTATTTAGTTTCATCTTTCAACATTGAATTTCCTAATATTTAAGAATTATCACCCCAGGTTTGAATAAACTTACATACCTGATTTAGAAAAAATTTGCATGTAATCGATATGTTATTTATGGCATACTTATGAGTTTATATGACCTTCCAAAAAATACTAATTCTCCTGTTAAACTAGTTCTATATACAAATGAGGATGAAAAGAGATTAAAGGAATCTGGACATTTTTCAATGAAGCTATCTGTTTGTCAATTCATGTCATAATACAAGCAAGCATTTTGACCTCCCAAATGCTTTTTTAGCTAGAGTCCACTCTACTTGAAAAGTTACACCACATATGAGGAGAAGGAATGAAGAACCTTCTCACCAGTATAGTTTGGGGTGTCGATGCATAAATCTGAAGCACAAACATCTAGCCAAGAATGACTGCAGAAAAGTTCATATATGTAAGACAAAAATCTGACTGATCTCTCCCTCTCTCTCTTGTGTATGGTGACGAAGGAAGATATAAGGGAAGGTAAAAAGTGAAATTAATAAAAGATGAACATTATACCTTAATTTGTACTGATCAACTAAAGTAATCGCAAGAAAATTTCCAGACAAGATCAGTAAAGAGATCTCTTCACTGCTGATTGATCTGCACTGGAAAAGGAGGATGTTTATGTATAATATCATAGGATGATAAACATAGAGCTATAGTTAGCAAATTAAGATCCTGAACCTGTAGATTGAGAAAATAAAAGCAGTGCAAATTCAACAAAGTTAGAGTTGACACTACACAAGTTGCTTACAAACAAGAGCATAGAGAAGTACTATTTAAATAAGGGAGTTCACAAACTGTGATGAACACTAGTCACAAAATCAAATAATTAGTTCACACCAATTCTCAATAAGGTCACACCCTGTGGCCAAGGCTTTCCGAGACTTGCCACTACAAGGAAGAAGAATAGTCTGATGATATACTCCACACCAATCCTGTGGCCCCAAACTGACCCCACAACAAGTAAGGATCGATTTGTCAATCAATCTATGCCTCAGGCTTAAACAAGCAAGTTGGTATCAGCTCTATGAATCCTCTATTATCGTTTCGAGCTATAGGATGTCAAACAATGAACCTATTGTAAGTGTAACCGTAACAATTAAGACTGAATCCCAACTAGCACTACTAAAAAACTACCGAAAATCAACGGCCAAATGTGATAGACTGCGTCACTTTTTTGGTCAAAATCGACGAAAAAGCGGCACAGTCACTTCCTTCGCTTTTCAAAAAGTGACGGACAACGTCACTCCAAAATGACGAACTGTGTTGGCGTCACTTTTCTGCAGAAAAAAATGCATAAAAGCGACGAACAAAAAGACCCTGTCCGTCGTTTTTCTGCAATATTTTTGACAGCAGATAGCCCACCCGCAAATAAATTCAGTCCATATCAAATAAGAAACATAATACACAAAATATATAATAACAAACTTAATTAAACATTCAAAAACACTAAAATCATATAAAGACTTTAAAATAAGTACAAAATTCTAAAGTATTCACTAATTAAAGAAATGTTAGCTAAGGGGTGGATTCTATGTATTCATCTTCATCATTGTCATCGGTAGGAGAAGAACCTTTAGAAGAATGGGAAGCAGTAGGCCGACGAGCGAGGTTGAGCGCTTGTTCTTTGATTTGCTCAATGGTTTGGTTCAACAATTCTTTTTGCCTCAGACGCTGCCAATGCACGTGTAAGTTCTACAATTCGCTCCGACATAGCTGCTATCTGAACACCATCAAGTGTCTCGGCTTAGCGTGACGATCCAATACCTTATTGGAGTCGTCGTACATCGCTCCGAGAGCCCATCCCATAGATTATTCCCTTGTGTCTCCCAACCATTTTTTCAGCCAAATTTGAGTGGACTCTTCAGGCGTGAGCTGGACCGAATCGCCCATGTCAAGCATGTGCCACTCATACTCTCTCAGCATATTAAAAATAAAAGTTAGCATCAACATATATATATGCACTATTTATCTTAAAATTTTAAATTAAATAACTTAGATAAATTTGTTCGGTCCTTTCTTCCACCGACTCATTTCGCTTCTTCTTCAAATGAGTCCTCTTGAAAACCTCATTACGAAGCGGAGTGCGTCCCAATTCTTTTTCCTACAAATAATATTTAACCAACTAATTTATTTAAAAGTATTTAGTAGAAGTTAAAATTTAGACAACTTACCACCTCCCTCGTAATTGTTTCAACGCTCTTTGCACCTCCGGTGGGCAATGAGCCATCCTTAAGACTATTTCTAGTTTGTTTAGACACAACCTTGAATTCATCTGTATTCCAATGCCAACACAAATCCTCAAAAACATTTGGTAAGAGTCGGGTGCATCATTATCCCGGCTTTCCTTAGCCAGCTAGAATATCTCGCGCTGGTCTTCCTCTCAAATGTGACCGCAATGACTATATTGTACTTTGGCTTCCAAGTACACATCGTCTAAAAAAAGAGTAGTGTTAGATAATGAATAAAGTAAAGTATATTAAACTTAACTAAAAAAATATATAACTAAACATATATATATACCTTAAATTCATTAAACATCATATGCCATATTCTGTTTGGAATCTCACCCCAAGAGTGATACGCCTCTGTATAGAGCCTTCTAACACTCTCCTACAAAGCCTTGACAACATCCTTTGAAGGATGCCCACCTGCAAGACCATAATAAACATGTTAGTTCATGAATACTATATTAATGTAGAAGAAATAAATAAAATAAGGAAATTAATAAATAACAAAACAAACTTACGACGATCCATCCAGCTCAATCATCACTCTACCAAGTCTGTCGCTTTATCCAGCTGCTAGCATATCATGCTCCTCATCAAGTATAGCAACAGGTGGAGGTGAATGTGATACTCCAAGATATACATAACATTGAGTCAATAGAGGAGTAGCATATGACTCAGTACGGGAATCTCTAAGTCTCATGCCAGATAGGTGAGGAAATATAGCTGTGGGAGATGGGAGTACCAGATGATATTATTTCTTGATAAAGGTTGTGGTCGATGATAAAGCTCTGTAGGTAAGATAGTGTAGCGACATGGAGGCAAGGACTGCGAAGAAAAAATAAGCGCCACATGGTCGACAATACTAACTATGATATGTTAAGGGATCCGTAGTCCCAAATGGAACAACATATATATATGTGTATTAGTATTACAAGGCTCTGGCGCAGAAGAAAGAAGTACTAGGATATCCTCAGGAAGGTCTATTGAGATCCTGAGGTTATCCCAAGACTTCTTTCTTCTACACCGGAGTCGCGTAATACTGATACACATATATATGTTAATTCATTTGGTGTTACGGATCCCTTAGCATATCGTAGTCACTACTGTCGACCACGTGGCATTTCATCTTCGCAGTCCTTGCCACCACGTCACTACACTATCTTACCTACAGAGGTTTACCGTCGACCACAACCCTTATTAACAAATAGGATATCATATGGTACTCCATCTCCCACAGCTACATCTCCTCACCTATCTGGCATGAGACTTAGAGATTCCAGTACTGTGTCAGATGCTATGGATGTTGCTCCTTCATTGACCCAGCGTTATGTACATCCTGGAGTATCACATTCACCTCCACCTGCTGCTACACCCGATGAGGAACATGATACATTTGAGCTAGCAATTGGGCAGAGGGACAAACTTGGTAAGAGTGATGATTGAGTCGGATTGATCATCGTAAGTTTGTTTTGATATCTATTAATTTCTTTTATTTTATTTATTTCTACTACACTAATATATTCATGAACTAACATCTATACTATGTGTCTTCATGTTGTTAGGGCTCTATAGGAGAATATTAGGAGGCTTTATATAGAGGCCAATCACTCTTGGGGCGAGATTCCAAACAGGATACAACAGACAATGTTTAATGAATTTAAGGTATATATATATATGTATAGTTATATATTTTTTAGCTAAGTTTAATATTTTTAGTATACTTTACTTTATTCATTATTTAATATTAATCTTTTTTTAGACTGTGTACTTAGAAGCTGAAGTACAATATAGTCATTGCGACCATATTTGAGGGGAAGGTCAACGTGAGATTGTCTAGCTGGCCAAAGAGAGTCAGGGATAATGACACACCTGGACCTTGGCTCTTCCCAAATGTTTTTGAGGATTTGCGTCAATATTGGAACACGGATGAATTCAAGGTTGTGTTTGAACAAGCCATAAAACCTAGAAACAGTCTTAAGGGTGGCTTGTTGCACAACAAAGGTGCAAAGAGTGTTGGAACAATTACGAGGGAGATGGTAAGTTTTCGAAATTTTAACTTCTAATTCATACTTTTAAATAAATTAGTTGGTTAAATAATATTTGATTAATATTGTCTAAAATTCTTTTTTTATTTATAGGAAAAAGAATGGGGTGAACTCCCCTTCATAATGAGGTTTTCAAGAGGACTCATGTGAAGAAGAAGTTTAATAAGTCGGATCCGGATGAGTTGGTGGAAGAAAGGACCGAACAAACTTATGTAAGTTATTTAATTTATAATTTTAAGATAAAGAGTGCATATATATATGTGTGTGTGTGTGTGTGCAGAGAGAGTATGAGCGCCACGTGCTTGACATGGGCAATTTGGTTCAGCTCATGCTTAAAGAATCCTCTCAAATTGGACTAAAAAGTGGTAGAGGGGACACAAAAGAAAAGAATTTATGGAATGGGCTCTCGGAACAATGTACGACGACTCCAATTAGGTCTAGAAGGTATTGGATCGTTAGGCCAAGCCAAGGCACTTGACGGTGTTCAGATAGCTGCTATGTCAGAGCAAATGGCAGAATTTACACGTGCATTGGCAGCGTCTAAGGCAAAAAGAGTTGCTGAGCAAAAAAGCATGAACCAAACCGTTGAGCAAATCAAAAAATAAGCACTCAACCTCGCTCATCTACCTACTACATCCCATGCTTCTCAAGGGTCCTCTCCTACTGATGACACCGACAACAGTGATGAAGATGAATACATGGAATCCACCCCTTAACTAGCGTTCCTTTAATTAGTGAACATTTTAGAATTTTGTACTAATTTTGAAAGACTTTATAAGTCTTTAAATTATGATTTTAGTGTTTATGAATATTTAATTAAGTTTGTTATTATATATTTTGTGTATAATGTTTCTTGTTTGATATGTTATGAATGGGCTTAATTGAATTTTATCTGCAGGTGGGCAGCAAAAACTGTCAATTTTTTATGTCAAAAATGTTGCAGAAAAGTGATGGACTGGATCCTTTTGTTTGTCGCTTTTATGCATTTTTTTTAAAAAAATCTAGAAAATCAACGTAGTCCTCGCTTTGTTCTTCATTGTTCTTCATATTGAAGAACAAAGCGATGGACAGCGTCACTTGTTTCAAAAAAAAATAAAAAATCAACCAACCCAAACGACATTGTTCGTCGTTTTGGAGTGACGTTGTCCGTTGCTTTTTAAAAAGGACAAAAGTGATGAAAGTGACTATGTCGCTTTTTCGTCAATTTTGACCAAAAAGGCAACGCAATCTGTCGTTTTTTAAGTAATGACACCTGCTCTCCATAGGAGTTTGGATTCGACATGTTTCCTTTTATCACCTCATGTCATCAAAGTGTAACACTTACAATGTGGAGGTCTATGTAGGGCACGGATAAACCATCTCACGTTACCTTTTCTCATCATACAACCTCAAAATGGCACCACCTGAAGGCCCTACGAACGGTTCCAGATTCACCATCATCACTTCAACTAGAAGGCCCCATCCTGTATGAGTGATTTGCAGGAATGACCTTCAAAAGGGGTGGTCTTGAACTTTTGACCGCGCTTAACAATTTTTAATTTTTTTATGAAATGACCTCGCTTAAGAAAATCCAATGGACAAAACTTTTGTTGCCCATTGGACATAAGTTGTGAGCATAAATTTTGCCTTGGGCAACAAAAGCTTTGCCCACTGGATTCTTTTTAAGTTAAGGTTATTTTCAACAAATTTTGTCAAGCCCGCCCTTTATCGTATCTCATTTATACATCCTATAGGGTACCCTGGCCCTAATGTTGTTACCTTTCTCCAAAAAAAAAAAAGAAGGCACCCTAGCCTGTATCTGCAAAAGATTGTTCTTCAGCCAAGAATAGTAACAAAACAAATGTATAGGCTTCCTTTTGTATGCATATCATACCTATGTAAGTGTTTATATACAAAAAAAACATACCCTACTCCCTATGTCAGTACTCCCTCCGTCCCAAATTATGTGATGTAGTTTCGACCGGACACAAAGCTTTTAAGAAATATGGGAAGACTTTGCAATGATTCAAAACTATCCCTAAAATAAATGAATTTCTAGATAAAAAAAAGTACACCTTTGTGGACTTCCTGCCAAATAAGTGGGACCCAAAATGGGTAAACTGTTGATAGTGTCATTAAATATTTGTCAAATAAGGAAATGTGTCATTCTTTTTTGGACCGACTAAAAAGAAAAGTGTGTCACATATATTAGGATAGAGGGAATATCATGATAGTGGGGCTAGAGAGAGTAAGCTGATAAGTTAGCATTCATGCTCTCAAATTCATCTTTGTAGCTTTTATTTGAAACAGAAGACATGCTTCATCTAATACAATAATAAGCGAGACCAAAACCACAAAAGTGAACACATTTATTCATTTATGTAATTATGCTTTCAAAAAAACAAATCCCGGTTTCTATTATGACAGGGCTAGTTTAAGTCTCTAAGACTAAGAAAATGACACTAGCTATCCCTTCAGGAAAAGTTATACTTTCTTAAAGCCACAATTCATGTTTACCAATAAAGAGCAAATCATGTAGCACTTTACGTCCAGTAATGTTCATCTTTGGCTTATAACAACAAATGGTTTAAAAAAAGATGATTACATTTTTCTCTCATCTCTACTTAGTTTTAACTTTGCAAGCCAACACTGTTAAATGCCAACTAGTTTTGTAAGTATTCTTTTATTAGTAAAGAATAATATCATTGATTTCCACCATTATGAACTAGTTCTTTACATATTACAAACAGGAAGCTCAAATCTCCTGATTCTTAACACTTGTAGTAAATCCAAAACTAATTCAGATGAAATTGGTTATATTTTAGCAACCCTGCAAAATATCAACTATTGACTGGAAATAAATTGCTACCTCTATACTTATTCCAGCATCACGTGCTTTTTGAAATAGCATATCCACTCGGACAAGATCATTGGGCAGTTGCTCCTGCAAATATTCTACGTTGTGAGCTTTACAGAGGCAGAAAAAAGGAAACCAAATTTCACAGAGCAAGCCACCACCACAAGCAGGCTTCATATCTTTCCTGACATCAGCCTCAATAGCTTCACATATATCATGTTTTTAGTTGCTATAACTCCTGCTTTTGTACCAAATCAACACAACTTATAACACTACATATGCAAAGAGCGAAAAGAATAAAAAGAAGCCAAAAATAGAAGATTAGATGGTTTTACGTAGTAAATGTGACATGAACGTCCTGATGTACTTGATATACAAATAGAGAAGTTAGAGTGGAATGAGATTGAAGTGAAATTTTTATGAAACACAAATTTCGAAAATTAATAAATGAAATCATGGAAAGAGCCATCTCTATCAGGTTATGATAGTTCTTTCATCACATAGATCTTAATTCTACACTCGTCAGAGAGTAAACATCAACATATTGTCTATAACTTACGTTTTTCCACACATTGATATTTTATATGAGTGTTAGCAATTGAGGACGTTAGAAGCACATAACATGCAATTTGACATTTTTGACATACAGAGAACTGACAATCTAGAGGATATAAGAAAATATCTGGATCTTAATTGAAAAAAAACAATCAGCATAATATATAAACAGACACTCAAACTTGGCCTCAGCTGACAAGTAAACACCCCAACTCTGAGTATGAATATCTAGACACCTCCACTCGTCTCTCCACTCGTCTCCACTGTCAGTTGAATACTCCAACTTACAAAATGACCTAGACACATCCAAAAAAAAAAAAAAAAAAACCTAGACACATCCAAAATTTATTCAGCGTTGGGGTGTCCATGCCAAGTTTGAGTGTCTGTTTATGTATTATGCCAAAACATTATGGTATTAAGTTGCTGACATGTCAGGAGTGGATCAACCTAATTCACATTTTGCTAGGTCAGTGGCATCATTTCAAACTGAATGTCAATGTGAGAGTGAGCAATTTACAGTGTGAAATCTCTTATCTACAAATCTTTTATGAGAAAGGACAATACCTTGTAAAATGTCTCCACAGAAAAACTTGGATTTGCACCTAATGTTACTGTGAAGTAGGAAAAACTGACAGCAAACTTCTTCAATAAATACGCCAGATCAACAGTCCAAATACTGGAAAAAATGAAAGCAACAGTGATTATATTTGAAAATCATCTCATCTTGGTCATATAAGAGGTAGATGATAGTTTCCTTTGATCCCATTCAATCCAGCAGAAAATTCAAGTGAAAACTGTGATATACCAATGACAAAATAAATAGAGGTACTGAATAATCAGAGAATAAGATGAATTATACCAGAACCTTGATTTTCAATAAATTTCTTAGTCAACTATTATGCTCACATAGCAAAATTTGCAGCAGGGAAAACAAGTGACCAGAAAAATTTTGAGGCTACAATATTATAATATTACTTTTGAATGAATAAATACCACTAACTAGTTCCTATTTAAGAAACATAAGGGATATTTTACTAAGAATTATCAGTCAGTTCAATCTCTAGAATGAAAAGTTCACCTGCTGCAATTTGGTGGTGTGTCTCGACAGAAAGAAACGCATGTTATTGAAGATGGAAAGAGTACAATCATTAATGTCAAAAAACAAATATATTTTTTTGCTTAGCTTTTGGTGCAACATGGCAGATGTACATGCTTTAGGCAAATCATGCAACAACAACAATAACAACAACATACCCAATGAAATCCCATGAGTGAGGTCTAGGGAAGGGAGAATGTGCACAAACCTTACCACTACCTTTGTGGAGGTAGAGAGGTTGTTTCCAAAAGACCCTCAAAAATCATGTATGACAAGTAAATATTGGAGATACCATGACACAATATACAGGGATTAGAAGAATTTATTTTCCTGGAATGATATGATTAAACAGGCAGAATCTTTCATTCTAAAGTTCGTAGGTACAGGGGAATTAGGTTTTTTTGCCTCCGAAAATATCATAAAGGCATACTATATTCATTTAATAGAAATATCAGCAATGAAATTCTGCATACATCTAGTTCACTTATTTCTAATTTATCATCACTCTCTCATGTTGGCACCTAAACAAAAGTGTGAAAGCATTGGCTGACTACAAGGGAGTATTTAATACTGTGGAGATCCAAAACTTTCAGCGGAACATCCAAGAAAAAATGATGCATAGAAGAATCCCACATCAGTTTATACAAAACATTGAAAATAAAACAAATTCCTATTGGGAACATCCTTTTCTCGTTTTTGTACAGTACCTATAATCGACATCCTAAGAATGTTATAAGTGAATACTTCAACTTTGACCAACACTTATTGAGAAGGTGGGAATTCTCAAAGCAATGAATGATACAAGGATCAGCTTCTTACTTCTCGAGCGAACAAAAAAAGATAATAGTAAAAACAGATAAACAAAGAGATGGAATGAATATAGATACTAAAGGCTAATATCACATGACAACAGAGCGAAACGGTAGGGGCATTAGATAAAGGAATATCATCAAATACTCATAGCACTTTGAAGTAGTACCTCGTAGTGCAGCAGAACTCTTGTAGCTCTTGCATGTTACCATCCTTGATTCCAAGAAACCTCAAAACCATCAGAACACAAGCAAGACCGCAGTCCCACGAATGTAATTGGTTTATATGTGGAACCTAGAGTAACAAACACAGCGTATTTTTAACAAGCAAAATTCAGGATATATTAAGAAGACTCACTAGATTTTACACAAACACCAAGTAGTACTGAGATTCAAATTTTCATATCAGCGTAGGAAAAAAGGAACATTGACTCACATCGACAAAGTATGAGCCGGACACTGTGCCATGGAATTCATCTCGACCCAATGATTGTTTTAAGAGCAAGGATTCTACCAAACTTAAATGGTCTGTTCCTGATTCTTCGGTGTTATCTTCTTCTGTTCCCAAAAACTTGCTCAATAGAACAAATAATGGCCACATCTGAGATAGTTTGTTAAGTCCCTAAACAATCAAATCGAATTTCTAATTTATGAATTATCTCTTCAATCATCATAAAAGCCATGAACCAGAAATGGCCATACCAAAATTGATAAACCAAAACATTCATTAATAAACACCAAGATGTTTCCACTTGATTAATCCAATCGAAACACCAATTTATGATAATCGTTTACAAATATATTGATTAAATTTGACCATCATGTCGACATCTACCACACATCAAATAATTACAAGACCATATTATATTTGTAGATAATGGAATATACTACAAAAATTGACGAAAAAAAAAAAAGTACCTTTTGATGAGGCGTTGACACAGAAAGAATTGTTGTAAGAAATAAAGAGAAGCCTCTTTGTCTGATCTTTCTCGGTGTCAGGGTTATGTCGTCGCTCTTTTCTTCTGGATTTTCTCACGTACTCGTCATTTAAATTATTTATTTTATGGAGGGATTTACTAACAACTGGTCGTTGTAGTATAGTGGTAAGTATTCCCGCCTGTCACGCGGGTGACCCGGGTTCGATCCCCGGCAACGGCGAATTTTCTTTTTTCCTATCATCCTTTTTGAGAAATGACATTTTCTCCTCTTCTTTCTTTTTTTCCAATTATGATTAGGAAAGAATTTCCATATTTTTTCAATGTATAATCCACTACTTTTTATCTAGGAGCTATAATTTATTGGATTATGAAAAAACTGTCTTTTAAGATTTATATAAGCTTTAAAATACACTTTTTTTTAAAAGTAAATCGCATAGTTATTTTCTTGAATAAATGAATTTGGATTAATAGATTTTTATTTTCTTTAGAAATGAGCTTAAGGTATAAAGTTTACTAGCCTATTAGAGATGAAGAAAAAGTAATTAAAGTATTAAAGATTATAAATATATTGTATATAATTTATTAGTTTGGTTCAAAAAATATTTCGATATATTTTTAATAAAACCAACTATTATGGATTTTTTTAAATTTATAATCAAACCCAAACAACTATAAATTTATTTAATTAATTTATGATTTTTCATTGAAAAATCATTTGAAGAATTTTAATTAAATCGTGAATACCCTAGCTGGTGATACTAATCTTTCACCTCTTTCAAACGTTGTAGATAAAAATGGCCCCACATATATTACTGCTCTCCATTCACCTACTAATTATTGTCTTATTGCGTTCACCATCTGAATTTTGAGGGGTTTCGAGGGTTATGTTATCCATCATTTATCCAAAAGAGGTAAGGACAGTGATGTAAAAAAAGTATATACTTTACATTTAATGTCATAATTTTCTTTTTTTAAATAGTGGGAAAAATTTGGATAGGCAAAGGAAATTATAAAATGAGGAACGAAACTCTCATCAGCACAAATAAAATTAAGATGTTATTTATATTTATCATTTATTTAATGTGTTTTTTAATTATTTTATATATATTTTTTTTTAAAAAATATAATAATAAAAAGTAGACTTTAAGTTATTCCTTAAATATTATTTTTAAGGATGTGTCATAACTCATACCCTAACAAACTATACAGGGAGTGCATATTATTAGCTTACATCTTGATACTTGCCAATAAAGCTGTCAAAATGAGCTGGCACAATCCAACCCTAACAGGCTAGAGAGTTAAATGAGTTAGGATAGGGTGATCGTTTTAATTAAAGGGTCTATAAAATATATAGCAGTCTAATCCAGTCTTATGCGGGCCATGGGTTGGGACGGGTTGGCCCTTCAACTAAAAAATGAACAATATTACTCTCTTAGAAAGAGTATCTAAGAGTATCGAACGTTGACGTCTATGAACACGACATCAATACGTATAAATTTTCATTTATGAATCACACACTTCGGTAAATACTTACAAAAATAAATTTATTAATCACACACTTTGGTAAATACTTACAAAAATACATAATAGTCAACGTAAGATTTAGCGGAAAAATGTTGATCATTCCACCATTCCTCCCACAAAACTAGCTAGTTTAAAAGACTTGATTTTTTTTATTTTTTAAAATATTTATTGATAAAAACTTTACAAATAAAACACTACTAAAAATATATATAAAAAATATTTTTATATATTTATAACCCACGGGCTGGCTTCTGAGGCTTGCGGGTTGGGCCTAAGAGGCTAGCAGGTCAAATGAGGCTGGGCTAAAAAGCCTCGTTTCTAAATAGGCCAAAAATATTAGGCCCAACCCCACTTAATTCGAGGATTAGATTTTACTGAAATTCCATTGAAAAATATGATGAATCTTGTTCCTATTATAACTTATTACATTTTTATATGTTAATGGAGTAAGCATTTGAATCATTATTGTTGCATTATATTAATTGAAAATTGTTTTAATTAAGTGTCATGTTTTTCCAATGTGAACACCTCTTAATGCATCTCAAATGATGGCAATGTTGATAATGAATTAATTTGCTTTTGACAAAGCACCTACATCATTTCATTATATATAAAAATAGAGTATGCTTTAATGCCTCCTCCACTATAGTATTTTGTGGATTTCACGTGTCAACGTTAGCTTAACAACATGTTCAATATAAATTTAGACCATAGAAGGGCAATAGCAACGTATAACTTGTAAGGAAACAAAAATTACTTGCAGCAATATGAACTACTTGTTGTGTGTTGTTGGATTTGTTGTGCTACTGGCCATTGCTGGAGCTGATGGTGCTGGTGAATGCGGGAGAAACTCTCCAGATATGGAAGCCATGAAACTGATTCCTTGCGCGGAAGCAGCATCGGATGAGAATGCATCCGTTTCAAGGAGTTGTTGTTTACAGATACAAAAATTGGGACAGAACCCGAAATGTCTCTGTGCTGTTATGCTCTCAAATACTGCTAAAAGCTCTGGAGCTAATCCTGAAGTTGCCATAACCATCCCCAAGCGTTGTAACCTAGCCAATCGTCCCGTTGGCTATAAGTGTGGACGTATGTTCTTAATTCTCATAAAATTATTTCATATCTCTAATATATACATATGCTAATTAGTCTTCATATTGTCATGTTTTGCAGCTTACACACTGCCTTGAAGACTACACGATATGTTACTATGTTATGTACCTATGTGTTTGGTGGCAATACGTACTATGTTCTTCAGTTATTGTGGATTAACTTATAATCAGATCATGTCATGTATCATTTCTGATTAGCATAAATAATATTTTGTGTTCTCTCTTCTTCAGTGAAGATGATTGATTCTCTTATCCTTTTCATCAGTGATTTGCGGCTTTTCTTATTAATTATAAAAAATATATTATCTTCTTAGTTTTCTGTAAAGCTAAAAATATTTTGAATTATATACATGACACACCGTTAATCATTTGAGTACCATTATAGTATATCCGGAAAAAGGTCAAATATACCATTTAATTTCTAAAAATAGTATGCACATATTCTTTGCTATACACACTTAGCGCAATATTAATATTTTCTTCATTTCTATTTAATCTTTTACCTAAAATTAAAAAAACTCACCTAATTATCTATTTATCTTTACTGATCGGATTAAAAAGTCCTGACCCACATCTTTACAGAGTATTCTCTAAGCAAATCCAATTCAATTTTCATGGTGAAAAATTTATTCAGCTGGAGAAACCCATTTCATGTCTTAAAAAATCTTTTGACAAAGATAAAAAATAAGAGAAAGAAAAGAAGTATGTAGTATGTATCCACTGGGCTTCACAATATATACATGTTATTTATCTTCACATCTCTCTTTTACGGTGCTCGACCATAGATTACAAATTAAAATTTCTATTTTTGCTCATCCCTGCCGAGTAAACGCTACGCCCTACAGTGCTACTCAATCACAACGGCCACTCAATATTTATACGTTCGATTTGAGGATAAAGTACAATGTTGGAATGTTCAAAGGGATGTTCCTCTAGTGACCGTCGATACTCTGCCGGAGTTTCCAACATTGCACTGGTTTAAGGAGATGACACACCGTGGAGTATAGGATGTCGGCTTCGTTGCTGTATCATGAAAATGGGACAAAGCAACGAGAGGTACGATGTTAGGGTTTTGGGTTGGTGGCAGAGGCGGAGCTAGGTGGGGTTCATGGGTTCGGACTTTGGACGAACCACTGGCTTTTTCATAGACCCTATATTTATATTAGAAAATTATATAAATATATGTATATAACATGTGAACCCCAAACAAAATTAATTTAAAACGTCAAAACTCCTAACAATGGCTCCGACTCGGGTGGTGGTGAATTGTAATAGTAAGGTCAAGGGGGTGGAGGTGAGTAAGCAAACGGTGGAGGTGGAAAATTTGGTGATGGAGGTGGAGAATTTGGTGGTGGAGGTTCTACTGATGTGTTATTCACTTTTTTGTACCTTTATTGGGTTAGGTTTTTTAATTTAGGTATTAAGTGGGTAAAATAGATGGATAGTTGGGTGGATTTTTTTAATTTTGAAAATAAATAAAATAAAATCAAATAAATTATTGAGATTGCACCATGTGTCTCTTCATTTGGCTTCCCGTAGTATATCTTGACTAACATATCAAAGGGTAAATACTTACCCCACTATGTTCACCAAATACAATAACATTGAAATTTTTAACTCTTATATATATATATTTTAAATGAAGTTTGTACAGCGTTAAAAGATATCGCTTTTTCAGTAGCGATTTTATCGTTTTGGTTTTAAAAATTGATATACTGTTTATGTTTTTTAGAGGAAAAAAATTGTTTTTTTTTGGCTCTGGACTCAACATTTGACCACATACCCTTGAATGATTTAGCTGCACACTTGAAAGATATCTCATAAAGTCACGGAAATTATTGGACAATTGATTTATATGGATCCTTCCAGTGTGAAAGCACATAGAAAAATGACATTGTCAAAAATTGAGAAGGTCAAATTTTCATCTTTTTCATCAAAAGAAACATCTCTTTTGAAGTTAGAATTTCTTCTCCTTTATACCTAACATACATAATACATGAAAGGATCTTTTCAAAATCATAAGATCTGAAAATTCTTAGCATAAACTTCTAGAAGATATTTTATTTATCTATAGAAATATATCCGTTCTATAAAAGCTCCAAAAGACGTTGATTATAAATGAGAAGATTGACTCAATAGAAAGACGAAAATGCATTCACATTTTTTAGGTTTCTGCATTTTGTATTTTTCCAAAAATTGATGTACTAATTGACCATGTCGTTAGTTTTCTAAAAAAAAAAAAAAATTAGATGCAGAAACAAGCAAATTTTGCGCATCTCACTTGCCAACTTAAAAAATAATTCAAGATACACCTACAAACCATCACTAATTGTTGTCAAATCAATTCTAAAATTAGCTACAACATAATAACTATCAATGAGAAACATC